CCTCATGCCCACCATCAGAATCACGGATAGCATCACCGTCATCAGCATGACTAACATCATCATCATCATCATCATCATCATCATCATCATCAACAACAACAACATCAACATCAACATCAACATCAACATCAACATCAACATCAACATCAACATCACCATCATCGCCAGTATCACCATCACCTTCACATTCATCCCTACCTTCGTCGTCATGAACCGCCACAACAATCGCAATCATCGGGTCGGGCGGGTAGGACAGTGAATTATCCTGGCGAAGGACCCAACCATATGCAATTGTGAGTACCGCGCTGTGGTTACCGCTTTCGGTGGAGCTCCCTACAGGGCATGGGGCCACGAAACGCGTGAGGGGTGTGCTGTAATGGTGGCGGTGTGGAGCGCATGCGAACTGTGCTGTGCCATTGGGGCATTAGGTGAAACTCCCCATGGAGCCACGAAACGTGCGACGAATGTGCCGAAATGTGGCCGGGGTTCGCATTCGAACGTCGCCAAAGAAGCCTTCGGTGCACGCGGCCGCGGACACTGGAGCCTTCAGTAGAGCTCCCTATGGGGCCACGAAACGCTGTACTGGGCGACGGAGAAACATGCTGCAGCGGCCATCGGGGCCTTTGGTGGAGCTCCCTTTGAGGCTACGAAGCGCTGTAGTGGATGGGGGAGACGCATGCGGCCGCGGCCACTACTTGGGCCTTCGGTGGAGCTCCCTTTGGGGGCACGAAACGTGTGAGGGGCGCGCCGAAATGTGACAGGGAGACGCATGTGGGCCCTGCCACCTGCAACGGAGCTCCCTCTGGGGGGTCGCGAAACGTGTGCGGGGTGTGCCGAAATGGGGCGGGGAGACGCATGTGGACATTGCCAATGGGGCCTTCGGTAGAGCTCCCTATGGGCCACGAGACGCTGTACTGGGTGAGGGAAGACGCATGTGGACCCTTCCACTCGGGACCTCGCTAAAGCTCCCTGTATGTTACGAAATTTTGTATTGGGCAGGGAGACGCATGTGGACCCTGCCACCGGGCCTTCGGTGGAGCTCCCCATGGGGCCCCGAAACACTGAACTGGGTGGTGGAGACGCAAATGGACCGTGCCACTTGGGCCTTCGGTGAAGCTCCCTATGGGCCACAAAACGCTGCACTGGGTGGGAGGGACGCACATATGCAAAGTGCAATACGCAAAGCCGATAAGTTCGGGGGGGGTAGACTCTATTCTCGTTGAAGAACAGAGAATATTCGACGGAGACGGCAGCGACGGGCGGCACCGCCAGCAAAAGCCGCCACTCGCCCCGAGCGGCGGCGACGGCGACGGCGGCGACGGCGGCGACGGCCGGCACCGCCCGCAGAAGCCGCCACTCGCCCCGAGCGGCGGCGACGGCGACGGCGGCGACGGGCGGCACCGCCCGCAAAAACCACCACTCACCCCGAGATGGTTAAGCCAGGTAAGAACCCCTAAGTTCCAGCACTGTTTGAGGAACATCTTTGTTGACAGCCGTAAGTCCATCTGAATGCTAGTTGTCAGTATGAGCTTAATGTGACGGTTGTTTTCCATGCGAATTCAACCCAAATATTTGTTTCACATAAGAACTCCATCTAACTTTTGAATTTGATACACAAGTTTGCGCTCAGCTGGAATTTAATGTGCATATCGGCTTGCAACCGGGAATACATGTAAACATGTGCTTTGAATAGGGGTTCAAACAAAAAAAGCCTGGCGAAGCACCCAACCAGATGCAGTTGAAAATAACGCAGCCGTGAGTACCGTTTTCGGTGGAGCTCTCTGTGGGGCCACGAAACGTGTGAAGAATGTACCGACATGGGCGCGGTGAGCGCATGCGAACGCAGCCACGGGAGTCTTCGGTGGAGTTCCCTGTGGGGCCACGAAAAGTGCGAGGGAATGCAGAAAGGGGTAGACGGACGCACGCGAACACCGCAACTAGAGCCTTGGTGGCGCTCCCCATGGGGCCACGAAATACATGGAGCGGACGCATGCGAACACCGCCACTGGGGCCATCGGTGACGCTCCCGATGGGACCACGAAACGAAGTGGGCGCGGTGGACGCATGCGAACGCAGCCAGTGGGGCCTTCGGTGGAGTTCCCTATGGAGCCACGAAATGTGCGAGGGGGGTGCCGACCTGGGTGCAGCGGACGCATGCGAACACCGCCACTGGGAACGTCGGTGGAGCTCATCCCTGTGGGGCCACGAAACATGTGAGGGGGGTGACGAAATTGGCGCCGAGGGCGCATGCGAACGCAACCACTGGGACCTTTGGTGGAGCTCCCTATGGGGACACGACACGTTTGCGGGGTGTGCCGACATGGGCGCAGTGGGTACATGCGAACGCAGCCACTGGGGCCTTCGGTGGAGCTCCTTGTGGTGCCACGAACGTATGACGGGTGTGCCGAAATGGGCGCGGTGCGCGCATGCGAACGCAGCCACTGGGGCCCACGGTGGAGCTCCGTATGAGGCCACCAAACGTGTGAGGGGTATGCCGGCATGGGTGCGGTGGGCGCATGCGAACGCAGCAACTGTGGCCTTCGGTGGAGCCCCATATGAGGACACGACACGTGCGCGAGTTGTGCGGACATGTGCACGGTGGGCGCATCCGAACGCAGCCACTCTGCCTTCGGTGGGGCTACCTGTGGGGCCACGAAACGTGTGAGGGGGGTGCCGACATGGTTGACTGGTGCGGAGGGCAGAAGCAGGGATGGGAGGAGGGAAGAGGGGTCAAGGGAGGAGCAGGAGGAAGAGGCGGGAAGGCGGGAGGGTGGGGGAGACACGGGGAGCTGTCTCTTCAAAACGTGGACCCAACACCACCGGATGGTTGGTAAATACTGGCTACCAAAAACAGTTCCCAGTGATAGTTCGATAGCCGAAATCGAACCCGAACATGAAGCCGCACCCTTGGTCCAGTACCCTGTCCCCCATTACCCAGTGATCAGATGGTGATCAACCCTAGTAGCAGCAGTCGTACAATCAATGGGCGAATTTGCTAATGAAAATCTGGACGAGGTGCGCTCGTCTGCTTTAGTTGAAGCCGTGGTTTTTCCTCTCGTAAAAATTAAGGGTTGGAACGCACTCTCATTGTCGGTATGGACGGCTGGAACACGATCCCTCGTAAGAACTGAAGGCTGGAACCAACGCAGTGGGCGGCTGGAACGTTTTCCTTCGTAAAATGAAGGGGTCGAGCGGACTAAGCTTGTCGGCATGAGCGGCTGGAACACTTCCCCTCGTAAATACTGCGTGCTGGAACCACTAAAACACGTACACATACCGTAGTTATTCAACATATATACAGCTGTATATGTAAGCATATGTATACATGCATGCATGCATGCATGCATGCATGCATGCATACATACATACATACATACATACATACGCATACACATACATACATACCTACCGACCTACCTACCTACATACATACACAGATACATACATGCATGCATGCATACATACATACATACATACATGCATACATACACACACATACATACATACATGCATACATACATACATACATACATACATACATACATACATACATACATACATACATACATGCATACATACATACATACATACATACATACATACATGCATGCATACATACATACATACATGCATGCATGCATGTATACATACATGCATGCATGCATGCATGCGTGCATGCATACATGCATATATATATATATATACATATATGCATACCTATATACATGCATGCATACATACATGCATACATGCATACATACATACATACATGCATGCATGCATATATACATACATACATGCATGCGTATATACATACATACACACCTACATGCATACATACATACATACATACATACATGCATGCATGCATACATACATACATACATACACACACACATACATACATACATACATACATACGTACGTACGTACATACATACATACATACATACATACATACATACATACATACATACATACATTCATTCATTCATTCATACATACATACATGCGTGCATGAATGCATGCATGCATGCATACATACTTGCATACATATGCATCTGCACATACATACAGACACACATACAGGCAGACATACTGACTGACTGACTGACAGGCAGCCAGACAGGCAGGCATATATCAGACATATATAAGGCATATAAACATGGATATCGCACACGTACTCATATGAAAATATATTTCTACACATATAGGGGGGACGGAAGGGGAGGGCTCGGGCCCGAAGGAGATGGGGGTCCTAGTATTGTATTCACGCCTCGCTCCCAAAATTGGTCCGCGAGTGCTCTCACGCGTGCGTTTGGTCGGTCGGTCGGTCGGTCAGTCGGTCTGGTCGTCGTCGTCGTCGGTCGATCGGTCTGTCCGTCGGTCGTCGTTGTCGGTCGACGTCGCTTCGGTCGGCGACATGGCGCGTCCTGAAGTCGCGCCACTGGAGCCAAAAAAGGCGACAAACGCAACGAGGTTCAGAATACGACGCTGGACCCGAAACATTCCCGAAAAGATATGTCTGCACGTTGGGTATACAGTGGTCCTCCTCCTCTTCCTCATCCTCCTCCTCCTCCTCATTATCTCCTCTTCCTCCTCATTAGCCTCCTCTTCCTCCTCATTATCCTCCTCTTCCTCCTCCTCCTCCTCCCTCCCTCCTCCCTCCTCCCTCCCCCCGCCTCCCTCCTCACCGCCAGGCAAGGCGGAATCTCGGCACTGCCCTGAATGGCTTTTGAACGTAAAGCTCCACCCGTGCGGCCCCCCAGCGGGAGAGGGCCCAGGCGGCACTGCGGGGCACGACGCCTCCTCCTGCCGAGTCGATCCGACCCGATCTTCCCTCCTCGATCATCCTTCCTCCCTCCTCCCTCCTCCTTGCCGTCCTCCCTTCCTTCCCTCCGCCCTTCTCCCTCCTCCCTCCTCCCTTCCTCCCGTGTCCCCTTCCTTCTCCCCCCCTTTCTCGCGCCAGCTCACCGAAGGGGCGGGGGCGGCTGCGGGGCCTGAACGCAGAAGGAGGACGTCGTAGTCCTGGCGGCACCGCGGCCCAAACATCCGCCGTCCAGAAAAAAATGTGTGCCTGCCGTGTTCGGACTCCGGGCGCTGGCTTCGGGCTCCGGGATTTAGAGCAGCACTGGGAATTAGAGCAGCACTGGGAAAACAAACAACAAAAACGTTGGATGTCTGGGGAGGAAGAGGAGGAGGAGGAGGAGGAGGAGGAGGAGTATACGACCTAGCCAGTTCGGACGAGCTGCACCCCCGTGAAGGCACGAGGAGGGGGGAGGGGGAGGAAGGAGGAGGGAGAAAGGACGAGGGAGGAGGGAGGAGGGAGAAGGAGAGGACGAGGGAGAAAGGACGAGGGAGGAGGAGAGGACGAGGGAGAAAGGACGAGGGAGAAAGGACGAGGGAGGAGGAGGAGGAAGGAGGAGGGAGGACGGATGAGCGAAGAGCGAGAAGCGAGGATGGGGAGGGGGGAGGGGGGAGGTGAAAGTGTTGGGCTGGATTCCCAGATTCTACTGCCACTCACCGCCTTGTGTTGCTACCGCCGTGTCGCACCGCCGTGATTTGCGATACCACATTTGCGCTTCAGTTGCGTGCGAGTGTGAATGGATATGTGCGCGTGGTACAGCCTGCGCGCGCACTCGCATTTTGAATCAAGGCGGCTACTGGAGGATACCACGAGTATTAGATCGCATCGGGGGTACTTTCTGGGCGCTCAGGAAAAAACTATGCATTTTGCCCATTGGTCGTGAATTCGGGCATGATATTAGTCCTGTTGATAGGCTATTGGTCTGGATGACGTGTACATGCTATGTACATGCTCTTCTAGGAGTGGTCTCAGATTCCGCCTCGTAGGGGATGTACGTGTTGCCGTGGCTAGTACGTCCATGTAGCCAATCAGCTATAGTAGGTATATGTAAGCCAGCTGGCCGAAGGGAGTAGAGGCCGGGCGTTTTTTTCCTGTCAGCTGAAGCAGCTGCGTTAATACCGACTTGAATGTTTAAAAGATGGCTCCGCCAACCCTCATCTGGAGGGTAAAGGCGGAGCGGCAAGAGATAGCGAGGGGAGCGTTAGTAATGACTCCCCCCCGCGGCCGGCCCAGCGCGGGGACTCCGCGCACGGGCGGGCGTCAGCTATTAGCTAACGCCCCAAGCTGCGGTGGGACGCACCGGCCCGAGTTCGGCACGTCCCGAGGGCAATTAGTCAGCCTTCACCCCTTCCCGCGGCACTTCGGCCCCCGCGGTGCAAACCCCAAAAAACCTTTTTACAGCACACGCGGAAGGGAAGGGAGCACTCCTGACACAGCCCTGTGGGACAAGCCAAAACAAGGGCCCCCTCAAAGCCTTCCAAGAAGCCCCAGAGACGCCAAGTGACACCATGGTTCCCAACAGCGAGTGGTGACGTAACGAGCTCGGAACACCAAGGCTCCCCAGAGCGCGGTGAGGTAAAAACCTCTGAACAGCAAGATAAAAGACTGTGAACGCCAGGCTCCCAACAGAGAGCGATGATGTAACACGCTCGTCACGCCAAGGTTCGCAAGAGAAAAAGGTACCGCGAGTCATCTCGGGCAAGTTCCTGTAGCGCTCGCTCGGTCACCCGAATTGGACACTAGAAGTACCTGTGCGGAGGGTAGGATAAGAATGGCGGGTGGCAACTGACGCCTCTGCTTGAAGGTAGTGGCACATGTGTGTCTTAAAATGGAGGTACGGGTCACCGCCCCTACGGCCGTCTTCATTGGCCGAGGGACCGTAGGGGGTCCTCGGCAACATGGAAGGTTGACTGGTGGGAGCGGGAACCCCCGCAGCCCCATCGATGGAAGCTGCGAGGGGTGTGAGGCCTAATGACGGTCCTCACCGACGAAGCTTATTGACGGTCCTCGCCGGGGGGAGAGGCGAGAGAAAGGGGGGTCATCCCGAGTGACGATGCCGTCCGCGAGGCCTCCCACTCCTGAGTGACGATGCCGTCCGCGATGCCTTCCACTCCTCGTCGGGCGACTGGTCTCCAATATGAGTCTCGGCACGCGTGCGCTAGGCACATGTTTTCACGCGGATCGGGCCACGACGGGGCCGCAAGTGAGGTACCCAACCTGCAGATGCCGAGTTCTGTCCCACGTGAGAAAATACGCGCGCGGAGGGGGCGTGGCCCCACATGCCCCTGGCGCGCGCGCGGTTCACATGCTTCGGGCCACGACAGGGCCGCAACCGAGAGACACAACTAGCAGCTGGTGAACTCTTTGCACGTAAAAATACGTGCGCGGAGGGGGACGGGCCAACACGCCCCTGGCGAGTGCTCGCGGTGCACGTGTTTTCACTCGCCCAGAGGGGCCCAAGGGGACCCCTCTTGATGAGGGGGGCAACGGAGGGGGAGCCCAATATGCGCCTGGCGCGTGCGCGCGGAGCACGTGTTGTCAAATGGTTCGAGCCACGACGGGGCCAGGAGCGAGGGACCCAACGTGCAGGTGCATCTACAGCACGTAAACATACGTGCGCGGAAGCGGGGGGCCCAACATGCCCCTGGCGCGTGCGCGCGGGGCACGTGTTCTCACGTGTCCACGGGGGGGGCCCAGAAAGGGACCCAACTCGGGGGGGAGGAATTCTTCACACGTAAAGTTACGTACGCGGAGGGGCGTGGGCCCAACGGAAGGGAACGGCGGGGCGGGGGCCACATGCGCCTGGCGCGTGCGCGCGGAGCACGTGTTGTCACGCGTTTCGGGCCACGGCGGGGCCGCAACCGAGGGACCCGACTGGCAGGTGGCAGAATCTCCGACACGTGAAAATACGTGCGCGGAAGCGGGGGGCCCAACACGCCCCTGGCGCGTGCGCGCCAGGGCACGTGTTTTCACGTGTCCACGGGGCCCCGTGGGAACCCAACTTGGGGGTGGAGAACTCCTCGCCTGTAACAATCCGTGCGCGGAGAGGGGGGGGGGCCCGACATGCGCCCGGCGCGTGCGCGCGGGGCACAAGTTTCCACGCGTTTCGGGCCAAGACGGGGCCGCAGGCGAGGGACCAACTTGGGAGTGGAGAGTTCTTCGGACGTGAAAATACGAGCGCGTGCGCGGAAGGGCGTGGGCCGACATGCGCCTAACAGGTGACAGGCGTCGCCGTGCAGGATAGGAATGACGATGAAGAGGAAGGTGGGGGTAGGAAGATGATGCAGAGGAGGTGGAAGGAGAAAGGAGGAAGGAGGAGGAGGGAGGGGGAGAAGGAAGTAGAAAGAGGAGGAGGAAGAGGAGGGTGCCCCGGAGGGGCACCCCCATAAGCGGGGTATCGGGCCAAAGCGCCCCCTGATGCAGGCGGAGAGCATCGGCGATCGGGCCCTCGGGGTCCAAAACCCCCGCACCTCGGGGACGGCCCCCAAAGCGGGGTCTCCTTCCCCGAGGGGGGGCTGCCAGGTTCCTCCGCTCCGTCAGGGCGGCGCGGGGTTCCCGCGCCTCGTTCGCCGCCTCGGCGCGGGACCGGCGGTCCTTCCTCTCCTGTCGGTCGTGTCGTCTTCTGCCGCGGAAGTTGGGGTCGCTGAGGGCGGGTGATCCTCGGCACCCCAACCGCTGCGGCGGATGTTCCTCGTGCTGGAGCTGTTCGCTCTACTGAGGGCGGCCCGCTCGCGCGTCCGCGACGGGCCGCGGCCAACCGCGCCCGCGGCCGCGGGCGGCCGGCGTCGCGGCGTCCGCACGGAGGAATGTGCCGCCGCCCAGTGGGAAAAGAAGGAGGAGGGTGGGAGGAGGAGCAGGAGCAGGAGGACGAGGAGCAAGAGCAGGAGGGGCAGCAGGAGCAGGAGCAGGAGATGGCGGATAACTAAGAAGGACGTGCAGGCGGCAGCGGCTGCAGACAAGCAAGTGGAAAGTGTCGCACGCGGGTCAGAAGAAAGTTCGACTCCAGTTCCTCACCGAATTCGTGGATCTCTCAAACTTTCAGGTCCCCCGACGTCCCAACCCTTTCCCCAGGGCCGGTTTTTCATCCTCCCGGGCCCAGCGAGGACCCCATGAGGCCCAAACCAGCCAGAAACCTCTCGTCGAGAGTTTGTCCACGGCGCGAGCAGGTCTGGGCACAGCTCCTGGTCGCGGGCCAAGACCCCTGGGAGGACGAGGAGGAGATGGAGGAGGAGGAGGAGGAGGAGGAGGAGGAGGAGGAGGAGGAGGAGGAGGAGCCGCAGCAGAAGCAGCAGCAGCACAGGAGGAGGAAAAGGAGGAGGAGGGAGGAGAAGGAGTAGGAGGGAGGAGGAGGAGGAGGAGGAGGAGGGGAGGAGGAGGAGGAGGAGGAGGAGAAGATGGAGGAGGAGGAGGAGGAGGAGAAGGAGAAGGAGGGCAGAGGGAAGAGGAGTGAGCAGGAGGAGGGAGGAGAAGGAGGAGGAGGAGGAGGAGGAGAGGGAGGAGGAGGAGTGAGAGGAGCGAGCAGGAGGAGGAGGAGGAGAAGGAGGGAGGAAGAGGAGGAGGAGGAGGAGAGGGCGGAGGGAATAGGAGTGAGAGGAGAAAGAAGAGGAGGAGGAGGAGGAGGAGGAGGAGGAGGAGGAGGAGGAGGAGGAGGAGGAGGGAGCAGGAGGGAGGGAGGAGGGAGCAGGAGGGAGCAGGGGAGGCGGGACCAGGAGGCGGGAGCAGGAGGAGGGAGGAGCGAGGGAAAAGACGCCCCCCCAGAGGCTGCGGCGAACGCGGCCGCACTCCTGCCCCTCAGGCCCACGCTCGGCAGCGAAGCGCTCCGGCAGGGGCCTCGGGCGCGGGCCGCCACCGCGGGCGCCGCGCCCCGCGTCGCGGCGCGGCCCGCGCGGAGGGGTCGGGCCAGGGACCGGGCGTTGCTTAGGGGGGGGGCGGCGATAAGCAAGAGGATGGGGGAGGAGGAGGAGGAGGAGAGGAGGAGGAGGAGGAGGAGGAGGAGGAGGAGGAGGAGGAGGAGGGAGGAGGAGGAGGAGGAGGAGAGGAGGAGGAGGAGGAGGAGGAGGCGGAGGAGGGGGAGGAGGAGGAGGAGGAGGAGGAGGAGGAGGAGGAGGGAGGAGGAGGAGGAGGGAGGAGGAGGAGGAGGAGGAGAGAGGAGGAGGAGGAGGAGGAGGAGGAGGAGGAGGGGGGGGGGAGGAGGGAGGAGGAGGAGGAGGAGGAGGAGGAGGAGGAGGAGGAGGAGGAGGAGGAGGAGGAGGAGGAGGAGGAGGAGGAGGAGGAGGAGGAGGAGGAGGAGGAGGAGGAGGGAGGAGGAGGAGGAGGGAGGAGGAGGAGGAGGAGGAGGAGGAGGACGACGACGACGACGACGACGACGAGGAGAAGGAGGAGGAGGAGGAGGGGAGGAGGAGGAGGAGGAGGAGGAGGAGCAGGAGGAGGCGGGAGGAAGGAGGAAGGAGGAAGAAGGGAGGACGGAGGAGGAGGAGAGAAGAGAACCGCCATTTGCCAGCGTCTCCTCTTGGCAGCTGCTGGCCCCTCGCCCCCCAGACCACGAAACGTCACGATTTGTTCATAACGTCGACCCCCACAAGTCTCGACCCATTCCCCAGGACCGATTTTTTATCCAGAGTCATCTCTTGACAGTCCCGAGGTCCAGCAAGGGCCCCCACGGCGGGAAATTCGGAAAAAAACCTCGCGTCGTGATTTCTTCATGACTCGAGGATGAGGATGAGGAAGAGGATGAGGATGAGGATGAGGATGAGGATGAGGATGAGGATGAGGATGAGGATGAGGATGAGGATGAGGATGAGGATGAGGATGAGGATGAGGGAGAGAGGAAGAGGGAGGGAGGAGGACGCAGGAAGAGGACGGCCCTCTGCCAGCGCCTCCTCTTGGCAGCTGCTGCCCACTCACCCCTCCGCTCCCTTCGGGCGTTGCGTAATGAGGGGGCGAGGAGGAGGAGGAGGAGGAGGAGGAGGAGGAGGAGACCCATGATGGGGGTGAAGGGAGGTGCACCCTTCTGTGCCCCGCAGGGGCTCCCCTGGGGGCCCCCGGTGCCCCTTGGGCCCAAAGCATGCAGGAGAGGCGCACGCTTCTCCCGCCCCCCGCCGCTGCCCGCCCCTCCCCCACCCACACCAGCTGGCTTGGAGCATCGGGTCGGGCGAAAAGGGGGGATAGCAAAGGGGGGGCTTGAGAATCAGCTCACGTAGCTGATTTTCCCGGCGCCTCCCGGCGCCGGAGGCGGTTATGCATCGAGCAATGGGCCCCTCGGTGAGGCCGAAACCAGCTGCATGCAGCAAATTTCGTAACCCCCCCTTTCCCAATCCCCCCCTTTCGCCCGACCCGATTGGAGCATGAGAGCAGGCGGCAGCACCGCACGGGCGCGGCGGGCGGGCGGACCCTGCCGGGCGGGCCGAGGCGGGCAGACCCAAGCGTGCGGATCGGGCGGGCGGGTCGCTGAAGCGCGAGTCCCGCACGAATCGCGAGGAGGTCCCCGGCGACGGCGCGATTCCTGAGCAAATCGTTAAACAAAATCCAAAGCGGGAGCATGATTCGTAAATATCGAGAGCGCGGCATCTGAATCATTTGCCAGGAGGTCCCGGGCGGGAGCGGGAACGCGAGTCTCCAATCAATTGTGAAGAAGTATCCGGCGGGAGCCCTTTGTTTTCAACCAAAAAAATGCGAGGCCCAGGAGAGGCACTTGAATTGAAAAAAACACGTTTGTGACCGCGCAAGGGGGATCAACAGTCATTTATTATTTCAACTGGAACCACGCGCGCGCTTCGCGCGCACTTAGGTTCTAGTCTCCCCAGTGCTTGCATGGGAATGTCCAGAACATCATATTGGAAATCTGGCTCCCTGAATCGCGAGAGAAGCAGGCAACTCAAGAGGGGGGCTCGCGCGATCGCCGTCTGCTGATGGGCACGCAAAACAAGAACACCAAATGATCAGAGAGAGAGAGAGAGAGAGAATGATTTCGACCAGCAGCAACGCGTGCGCTCAATACCATTGCGTGCTGAGTTCGCAAGTTTGCAACGGTATTGCTGGCCCAACTGCTGGACTGCATGGTGGGAGTGGGCCGCGCTGATGGTCGGACCGATCTCACTATCGACATCACCATCGATCTCACTGTCGATCTCACGATCGATCTCACTATCGATCTCACCACGGGACACCGGCGGGACACCCACGGGACCCCGACGGGAAACCGACGGAACACCGACGGGACACCGACAGGATGCAGACGGGACACCAACAGGACACAGACGGGACACCAAGGGGACATCTCTATCGATCTCACTCGATCGATCTCACCATCGATCACTATCGGTCTCAATATCGGTGTCACTATCCATCTCACTATCGATCTCAATATCAATCTTACTACGGGACACCGAAGGGACTCAGACGGGACACCGACGGGACACCGACGGGACATCGCCGACGGTATCACATCGATCTCACTAGACTGATCTCACTATCATCTCACTATCGATGTCACTAACGATCTCACTATTGATCTGACTATCGAACTCACTGTCGATGCTACTATTTATCTCACTATCGATCTCACTATCGATCTCACTGCGGGACGCCGACAGGACACCGACGGGACACCGACGGGAAGCCGACGGGACACCGACGGGACACCGACGGGACACCGGCGGGACACCCGCGAGACACCCCCGCAAAACCGCCAGCCAACCAGGGGGAGCGGCGATCTTTCGGCCAGGCGGCGCCCTAGCCAGGAGGGTTCATTCCTCTCGCCCGCACACGCGGCTTCGCCTCGCCAGCACGCACGACACGAAAACGAAACCCAACCCGATTTTCCTATGTGGCTCTCCGCTTCACTGCGATCTCACTCCCTCACCTGCGATCCACGGCCTCGCGGGCCATGCCCCTAGGCCACGACCCCGTGGATGCGTGGCGTTTTTGTTCGAAGATACCCTGTGGCCTCCTCCTCCTCCTCCTCCCCCCCCTCCTCCTCCTCCTCCTCCTCCTGGGATCGCGCCCCGGAAGTCAGACCGCGAGGACGCGGATATGGATGCTCTCGCCGCCCGTAACCTGGGCCACGGAGGAGAATCCACGGAGGCTGGTGCTCTTTTCTGTACCCGACGGCTCCCGGTGAACATCTGCACGCTCGAGGGCCCAACCAGACCGCGCCCTCCTTCGTACAGTGGAGGCCCGACCACAAGAAACCTTCCACAAAAAACCCAACCCTGCGACCCCAGGACATCCATTGCTTTTCGGGGTGGGAACGTCGCGCCTTCCACAACAAAACCATCGAAACCCGAGAGACCCGGGTCATCCTGGAGGCGAGAAGGGTGTTTCTTGGCAGGGGCACCCACTGTACCCGACGGCTCCCAGTGAACACCTGCACGTTCGAGGGCCCAACCAGACCGCGCCCTCCTGCATGATACCTGCGCGCGCGGAGGCCTGCATCCGCGAGCGACTGCTTGTAGGTCTTGAACTTCCGATGCCTCCTCGGACGGCGAGGGAGCGCGGTGGCTCGAGGGGAGGGCGCTCGGAGCATCCCCCCCCGCGAGTGTGCCTGCGAGGCCGTCCGCAAGGCAGCGGCGATGAGAGAACAGCGCACACGCTCAGACCTGCAGGGAGGAGGCCAGGGGGAGGGCAAGGCGGTGAAGGCGCTGTAAGCATGGGCGCGAGCTGTCGGACCTCGAGGGAGGCTCCCATTCGGGGGGGACTCCCATCCGACAACACAAGCTCAGAGCCCCCCTGGAATTCTACCCCGAGACATCTGGGGTTCGCATACGGGTGCTAGTTGTCAACTCATGATATCGGGGAATATCGGGGACTTGAGGTGGGATATTTCGCATCGCTCGTTCAGGTGACATGTTGCTCCACGTTACATTTGCAATGTCGTTGACGCGTTCGTGCTCAACCTCTCGCGTGCTTCGTATATGTTATCGCTGCACCTCCGTATGCCTATACTTCGCCTGTTGTGTCGTACTCTTTGCTGAAACGCACTGCGGTGCCTCGGAATACAATTGAAACACCACCACCAAAACACCATCGGGACAACAAATCGTGACACCATCGAAGAACGAGCGAGACAACGTCTGGATGGCATGGCAGATCAATCGAGACACCATCGGGGCATCATCAAAACATAAGTTCCAATGTGTTGGACTGTTCTCCTGCCATTAGGAGCGAGGAGGGAGGAGGGAGGAGGGAGGAGGAGAAGGGAGGAGAAGGAAGGAGGAGGAGGAGGAGCAGGAGGTGGAAGAGGAGGAGGAAGAGGAGGAGGAGCTTGGGTCGAAGGATCGCGCCGCATCGCCAATGCATCGCCGATGCATCGGCGACGTCGGCGTGGAAAACATGGGCTCCACATCGACCACATCGTCGATGCATCGGCGATGCGGCGCGATCCTCCGACCAAATCCACTCGGACCACTCGTCGAGGTCCCAAGGCACGACTGCAGCGCAGTGGACGTACAGTGCGGGCGCGGTCGCAGGAAACCCTCGCGAGAAACACAGCCCTGAAAGCCTGAAAGCCCACGCGCGAGGTGTACCTGAAGGGAAACCCTGAGCACCCTGAACGCAGCAAGTCCTCTTGACGGCCGCGGAAAGTCGCCGCGCAGCGCGCGGAGCGAAGCAACCCAGGGTGCCCTGACGAAAAGCACTCGGTTTCTTGATGCGCGCCCCCACTGTATGAACGCATTCTGGCGGTGGACTTCTGCCGCCTGGTGATCCTAGACGCACGGCGGTCCTGGGGCAGCAGGCAGGTACTGGTGTCGCTGATCCCCGGGCCTCTCCTGGGGTGCGTTCTGACGAGGAAGTCAAGGAGAATCCAGCCGTGGCGACGAGGACCCTCCAGGACGAGCAGCGGTATCGGCATCTCTTCCTCCTCTTGAGACCTGGGACAGCCAGAGGGCCAACTGATCCACAATGTTGACCGTCGCTTCAGCGATCAGGCCCGCTGAGGGCACCTCCTCTTCGGCGCGGGGCTGCTCAGGCAGTCGGAGGCGCTCACGGACCTCCCCGACCCGCAACTGCTTGAGGGGGAGGGCGCCATGCGAGAGACGTTGCAGCGGACGGGGGAGGAAAACAAGAGCAGGGAGGGAAACGGGGGGAGATGAGCATTGTTTCACCGATGCCATTCCCCACTGGCGTGGCCTTCGACCCCTTGGCCGACTTGCCCACCTAGGCGGGGATATACGGCCCGTTCCATCGGGTTGCGCGTGGCCTATCCACCTACGAGGGCGGGCTGGTGGGGTTGAGATGCCATGACCCAGTGGGGGTGGGAATAGGTCAAACGATGCTGGGGGGAGGGACGGAGTGGGCGAGCAGGGAGGTCAGGATGGGAGAGGGGCAGCTGAGCCGGCGAAGCGGACCGGGGGGGGGGGGCGACGGGAAATATGGAGAGCTGGCGGAACCGTTTCGGGGAGAACCCCCGGCACTGCTACAATACGACAACAGGGACGACATTGATAGGTCCGAGGACGAGAACGAGGACCGTCACACGGGAGATGAACAGGAAGGAGGAGGTGAAAGAGGCCGCACGAATTTGACGCGCTGTCAGAAAGGAGTGGCTCACTCCCTCCTCCTCCTCCCTCCTCACTCCTCCCCCTACCCCTCCGCCTGTCAGGGCAGCCGTCTGTGGCAGAGGCTCCGAAGAAGGCTGTTCCGGCCAGCTGCCTTGTGCAGTGCTTTACTTGAGCCAAATTGGCCACGGAAAGTGAGGAGGACGAGGACGAGGAGGACGGAGGCAGAAGGAGGAGGGAGGAGAGAGTAGGGAGGAGGAGGAGGAGGAGAAGGAGGAGGAGGAGGAAGAGGAGGAGGAGGAGGACGGAGGAGGAGGAGAATAGTAGGCTGGTGAGCTCGCGGGCGACGCCGACCAAGCCGGAGATGCTGACAGAGCTGCCGACGCCGCAGAACGAATCTGGCAGGCTCGAGGACGGTAAGACGTCCGAGCTGCAGCATCGCAAGGCGCGAGAAATACACCAAACAGGACGGCTCCAGAGCGGGCGCAAGCCAGAAGCAATGAAGAAATGCTCGCGGCAGCACCAGCAGGAATCAAGGGGGGCCAGAATATTTCGGGTGTTGGTGATAAGAGGTAGGGATGACCAGGAACGCCTCGGCGGTGGTGTCACGGACGCACGCCGATAAGGTAGCCTCTCGGGCGTGCGGATCGAGCTTGAAACCAAAGTGAAAAGAGTTGGCCTCGTCGGGCCCGTCGTCTTCCCCGAGCGGCCCACCAGAGCAAAGCCCATCAAGAGCGAAGCCCAAGGCGAGCGAGTCGTATCATCCACACAGCTCGCAAAATTCGGTTGGCCAAGCTGGGCAAGAGCAACATCGACCTCATCTGGCTCCTGGGAAGCAACCAGACGGCCTGAGCAGCGCCACGATTGGGGCGAGCGGGGCAGCGCCACCAGTGGCGACGGCTTGGAACCCTCGACGCTCGCCTGGTCGTCCGCGATGGCGCGGCGAGGCCAATCCGCGCTGGCCGCAAGGCTGCAGCAGCGCAGCGGGCATCCGCGAACCGGGCGGCGCAGACGGTTCGCGTGACTGCGCGGCCCAACGTGCACAGCGAGCACCGCACTAGCGAGGGAGAGCGTGAGCCTTGGTCTTGCGGACGCCATCGCAATGGACACTCTAATAGTCCTCTGTTTGACTTACACATGTCTTGCAATGGTTATGCGATGTTTTCAACATGTGTTGTAACATGTTTGTATATGTTGGATACATGATGAGCACATGCTTTAGACATCTCGAAATTGTTTGGCAACACGCCTCCTCTCTATCGGTCGTCTTCCACAGCCTTGGTCAGTGCACCGCGCGCCGTCCGTGGGAACGTTCAGCCAGCGTTGGCTGTCCTCGCCCTCCCTGGCGTGGACGCGCCATGCGCTGCCGTCACTTGGAGGCCAGATGAGGAGAGGGAGCGGACAAGGGCGGGTCGTTGACCAGCTCCACTTGAAGAGCCAATAGTAGGCGAGAGCCTTTGCCGATGTCCCGGCACTGTCGACTGCAGGTAAGAAGCTCCCGCAATTCCTCGGCTTGCAGGGCGTGACAACGGCGGCGCCGAGTGAATAATATATCCCTGAGCTTCCTCGCAAAGGCGGGTCGTTAGCCAGCTCTACCTGAAGAGCCAATAAGCAAGGGTTGTTGCCGAAGGCCCAGCACTGTCGACTGCAGGTCAGAAGCTCCCGCAATTCGTCGGCTTGCACGGCGTGACAACGGCAGCGCCGAGTGATCCCTCAGCTTCCTACGCCCCATCGCGGCCGCAATTCACTGGCGTGCAGGGCACGACAACCGCAGAACCAAATGAATAGTACATCCCTGAGCTTCCTCCGCCCCATCACGGTAGCGGCAAAGAAAGACGGTGGCCACGGCTGCTGGGTTTAACGTCCTCCGCACAGGAAGACTGAGAGTCATGTTAGGCCATGTCAGGAGGGTTCGGTCGCGGCACCTCCAATGCGGGCCAGACACCTGTAAGCGCCGAAGCGTCCGCCCAAGCCGCGGCGCGTGGCACAAGAGTAACGCCGGGGTCGCTGACAAGCATTCAGGGTGTGAGTGAGCCACGAGATGGGCGCGATGAGCCAATGGAGGGGGAAATTCTGCGGCAACTCACGGGAGCCTCCCATGCCATCTTGCTGGCTCTTGCGAATCGACGCTGGCCGACCCGAATCGACGCTAATCGACGCTAATTCGACGCGAAATCGACGCTAATCGACGCTAAATCGGAGCTGTCTCGTCGATTATCACACGCTAGCGCACGACACTGCACTCTAAAGACGTAACTACGAGGACACGTACAAGGCTCCTCCCAGGATGTGCTACTGAAGGGACCCCCATCTCGTCCAGCACGCCGAAAGACGGTCAACCCTGACCCTAGCCCTACACCGCACCAGCGGGCGTGCTGAGCACGGGTCCAGCTCAATAGGCTGCCAGGTCCAAAAGCTGCGCAGATCTGTTCGTCTCGTGAGCGGCCCTGCCGCGGCGAGAACGGGGGACTGGAGTACCTCGCCTTTCGAAGAGTGTTTCCGTATAGTTTTTTGTGGAGTGCTCGAACATTCGTCCTCTTCTTCCTTCTCCTCCTCCTCCTCCTCCTCCTCCTCCTCCTCCTCCTCCTCCTCCTCCTCCTCCTCCTCCTCCTCCTCTTTCTCCCTCTCCTCCTACTCCTCCTCTTCATCCATCTCTCTCCTCATCCTCCTTCCCCCCGAATCATACTTGATTATTTCTCTGCACCTCCCCCCCCCAAGAAAAAAATAAGAAAAAACGCGGAACGGTCTCCCATTTTTTTGGGGGGGGGCAGGAAAAAAATTAAACTCGATTCTGCGAGAAGGAGGACGAGCGGGAGGAGGAGAAGGCAGAGGAGGAGGAGAAGGAGGGCCCGGATGTTGTTCCTGCGCCTGCCCCCCATATATATATATATATATATATATGCATACATACATACATACATACATACATGCATGCATGCATGCATGCATGCATGCATACATACATACATACATACATACATACATACATATACATGCATACCCACATACCTTGCATACGTTACACACATTACAAACATTACCTTACACTAACACATGCATACATACATACATACATACATGCATGCATGCATGCATGCATGCATGCATGCATGCATACATATATACAGATATACATGCATGCATGTATGTATGCATACATACATGCATGCATGCATGCATGCATGCATAAATACGTACATTTCTACACACATACAAACATACATACATGCATACATATATGCATGCGTATATGCATACATGTATGCATACATACATGCATGTATAAATGCATGCGTGCAGGCAGGCAGACTGGCAAACATACATGCATGAATATATACATACATGCATATATACATACATTACATACACTGCAAACATACATGCATGAATGCATGTACACAGACATTACAAGCATACAGTCATACATGCATACATATGTATATATACATGCATACATGCATACATACATACGTACATACATACATACATGCATACATATACATATACATATACATATACATATACATATACATATACACATATACAGACATACATACATTTATGCATGCATGCATGCATACATATATACACATGTGTACGTAAATACGTGCATACATGCATGCGTATGTACATACATACGTAAATACATACATACATACATACATACATGCATACATACATACATACATGCATGCATGCATGCATACGTACATACGTTAGTTGAAACCGTTTTCCTTGTTTGAAATATGTGTATGTGTTTGTTGTTGTTTCTCTGGGGAGGGGCGGCGGACGGAAAAAAAAAAAAAAAGAATCCGACGTGGTCTCATCTGCCCTCACCTCTGGAGGGATTCTATAGAAAGCCCCCACAATAAGGATTCAGTGTGAAATCCTCCACAGGGGGATTCCTATCGAAACCCTCCACATAAGGATTGCTATTGAAATCCTCCACATGTTCGTTCCTCTTGGAACTGGAACCACCTGCAGAGGGATTGCTATTGAGATGATTCGAAAGAAAGAATCTCCCCGTTGGCATTGCATTGGCAGTGGTTTGGCAATGGTTTGGCATTGCGCTGGAATTGTGCTTTGCAGTGCGTTGGCATTGCGCTGGCACTTCGCAGGCATTGCGGTGGCGAATCCTGATGGAACCCTCCACAGAAGGATTCCCATGGAAATCCCCTACAAGAAGGACTCCGATTGAACGCCTGTACAAAAAGGGTTCATATTGAAATCCTCCATTGAAGAATTCAATGCGAAGCCCTCCACTGAAGGATTCCTATCGAAATCTACCACACAGGATTTCCCCAATCCCACCAGCCCTCTGGGCGTAGGTGGTTTAAGGCGTTTCCTCTTCCACCCCCTTCTTCCCCTTCGGGGATGGGTTTTACCCCTTCCCGTACCCCCTCCCCTGGACCTGGACGGGGGCGTTCGCGAGAGTTGGAGCGTCCAAGATGGTTTTGCTGAGGTTTGGAGCGTTGGCGAGGAAGCCAAAATCA